GTGTGTATGTGTGTGTGTATGTGTGTGTGTATGTGTGTGTGTATGTGTGTGTGTATGTGTGTTGTGTGTGTATGTGTGTGTGGTGTGTATGTGTGTATGTGTGTGTGTGTGTGTAGTATGTGTATGTGTGTATGTGTTATGTGTATGTGTATGTGTGTGTATGTGTATGTGTATGTGTGTATGGTATGTGTGTGTGTGTGTGTGTGTGTGTGTGTGTGTGTGTGTGTGTGTGTGTGTGTGTTGTGTGTGTGTGTGTGTGTGTGTGTGTGGTGTGTGTGTGTGTGTGTGTGTGACGCACGCCATGATGACAAAAGAACAAGATAGTGGTACAAAAAAATAAATATATAAAAGTTTTTATAATATCTAATGAGAGAAATAGGACTTGATTTCCTGAAAGATCAAAAATTAAAACCATTGGTTCTTAATTTTTCATTCTAACTCTGTAACCCTTTTAATCTTACTGTTACCATGTGGATTCCTAACCTCTCTGCCCATATATGCATTTGCCAAAACTATATCCTCTCTACTAATGGAACAGTATTTAATTTCATTCCCATTCAAATAGGCAAATTTTAGGTCAACAAATCCTGCTCCTGAAACCACTGGTCTAAACCATTTAGCTGTCATACTTCTCATGGACTGTCACAAAGCTCATATTCACTTTTTAGGATCTAAACTGTTATGCATACTGCTTTAGGTAGTACTTGTTTCTTTTATTTTCCATAATCACAATGCTTAAAACTTATTAAGAATCTCACAATGTTCTCCCAGGTAGAGAACGGCACATCTCAGAGATAGCTGCCATTGTAAACGAATAGCATTTTACAAAAGCACCCCACCTTCCTTGTGGCCATGATGGAGCGACTATATTTTGCTAGTTAAGAAACACAAGGACCTATGTTGCCTATGTTGACACTCAGAGAAGATATGTCTAAATCACCCTCCAATTACAAAGGACTCAACAAAGATGAATAAAAATTTCAGTTGCAGCAGATAGTGCTCCTCTATGGAAGGAAATCACAAAGGTTTCATCAAACCTTTTCAGAGTAAAATTAGGCATCCAATCTTCAGTGACAATCTGTTTTAAAATTTTGCGCTCTTAATTCAAAGTAAGTATGATGAACAACACACAGACATGCAACTTACCTTTTGGTGTGCTCCAGAGTGGGTGTGTTCTGTCACTGAATTCACACAGTTCATCTCCTTGTTGCAAACCTATATGGAAAAAAAAGCTTTCCAGTTTCAGAATATTCAAGTGATGGGTATCAAATACCATCAGTATTGTTTCTTGAATTACAACACACTGAAATATACAATGAAAATGAACAAAATAAAGATAAAATCAAAGGGAGGGAGGGGGAGGAAGGGAGGGAGGAGGGAGGAGGAGGGAGGAGGGAGGGAGGAGGGGAGGGGGAGGAGGGAGGGGGAGGGAGAGGGAGAGGGAGAGGAGAGAGGGAGAGGGAGAGGGAGAGGAGAGGAGAGGGAGAGGGAGGAGGAGAGAGAGAGAGAGAGAGAGAGAGAGAGAGAGAGAGAGAGAGAGAGAGAGAGAGAGAGAGAGAGAGAGAGAGAGAGAGAGAGAGAGAGAGAGAGAATGACATATGAAAAGGGACTCACCGTACAATAAAACTGCATCCGATCTTGCATGTTAAGAGTGATGGTAAATGCTTCACCGAATAGACGTTCTGCAATCATTACATATGAATTTACAAAAACTTTGAATTCTAATAGAAATCCACCAATAACTATTCGAATATATACGTGAAGTATCAGACACAAAATAATGCAACAGAAAGGAGAGGGAAGAGAGAAAGAAGAGAAAAGAGAGAAAGAGAGAGAAAGAGAGAGAAAGAGAAATGAGAGAGAGAGAGAGAGAGAGAGAGAGAGAGAGAGAGAGAGAGAGAGAGAGAGAGAGAGAGAGGAGAGAGAGAGAGAGAGAGAGAGAGAATTCTACCTACGTGTGGCTCTTTGAAACGCATCCTTCATGTGGATCTGATAGGCACAGTCTGAGAAGGACCTCATCATTTCCGTGGCTTCCTCCTACAAATGATAAATATTAAGTTGACAATGACAAAATTAAAAACAAAAAAATTCTAAATACATATAATAATAAATGGGTGCTAAAAAACATTCAATTAACAATAAAAGTTTAACTCAGTGGTTCCTGACGATTTTCATTCTACACCTTCTGACCAATATGTAATAACCTCCATGGCCATGTTCAGTTTCTGTAATTTCATATCCAATTATTACTCATTATGAGTAGTGAAATGGTGTCAACAGCTATAGTTTTATGGAAAGATTCCAATTTATTGATATGTGAGATAATTATTTGTAAGTACTATATCAGTGAGATAAAATTTTGCTTAATTACACTTTATATTGCTTCATGGCCCCTAGAAAGTAGCCCAAGATCCCCTGGATGGGAACTCCTGATATTAACTTTTCTGGGAAAACATGCCTAATCAGTTTTCAAATAGATCAAAAGGATGACAAAAAGACA